TGATGTCTGAAAGCTAATGATGAAATATATGCTGATTTTGCAATAGTGCTTTGAATGGACTGGTAGATATTTTAAGTTGCAAGTAATCGATTGTGATCTAGGTGGCAGAACTTACTCATAAAGCACAACTTCAAGATGTTGAGCTGGAAAGAACAACTAAACAGCTGAAAGAAGCCATTGCAGTTGCAGCGGAAGAAACTACAAAATGTAAAGCAGCAAAGAAAGTAATTAAATCCCTAACAGCACAAGTAAGTTGAACACATCTTTAAATCTTCATGTCGTGACTCTACAGTTTTCCTTTTTAAAAAAAACTGTAGAGAACCTTTAGCACAAAATTCAGGAGATTATGTGCATTCTCCTTAAAATAAGGGCAAAATTACAGTTTCTCCCCTTGTAATTTTTGCTTATGTTTTTTATAAATATTCAACTATCTGGAATTTTCACTTTAAGAGAAAAGGGTAAGTATTATGTTGGTAATCCATTTATTTGCACATAATTTTAATGTCATTTCTTATTAAAGATTTCTTTTATATTTTTTTGATAAATTAATGAAATTCAAATGTAAAGTATGGAGTTCAATATTTTGTAAATGCTACTTTATGTTACAGACTTGATTATTCATCATAATAGGAAATGACACCTTTTCCAGTTTTCTCTTTGACAGATGAATGCAAGATTTACTCAATCATCAAGATAACAAAATTATTCTATTGTTTAGTTATAGAATCTCAATGAAATCAACTATCACAAAACAAATCACATGGTTTTATTATGAAATGGGTAAAATGAGAAGGGATAAAACTGTAGTTTCTCCTTCAATAAATTGAGATGAAGTCTTTGATGGTCTGATAAACTGAAAAATCTGAATGGTACGATAGGTCAATAATTTTTATCCTCAAAAAGAAACGCAGCAAACTCCAATACAATGGAACTGATTTTGACACCTCGTGGGCAACAGTTTGTTTTCTCTTGAGATGTACATTTTATGTGCATGTGCAGACCCAACATAAGGCCATGAAGTGAAGAAACAAAGGAAATATAATTTTTTTGTAAGATAATATAGGGACCTAGATATGATGATACCAAACCTTGAAAGTGGATGCGAAACCTAGCCATCTTCCAGGAAATTTCTCGGTGCCAATTAATCTCTTGGCATTAACATAGAACCAGAGAAAAAAGTTATGATTACTGTGTTATAATCAGAGATCAAGCTTTGGCAGCATAATGCTTTATTCTTGCCCACAGAAGCACCAGTTTGTCTTGATTCACGGAACTTGTTCTTATAGATAGTAGCATAAACATCATTTTCAGAGAGTAAATTGGACAGATCAAAATTCATCTGAATTTATCTTGACAGTTGAAGGAGATGGCTGAAAGATTACCAATTGGAGCAGCAAGAAATGACAACAGCAATTCACCATCATTTCATTATTCTAGCCCCACCACTAGAGATTTTTCTTCTGGAGGCAGTGAACAACTGAGCAGTCCCAGAACATGCCATGAATTAGATTCAAATGGATCAAATGGTGTAGTGGTTTCTAATGGCTTAAGCACCAATTATAACCACAACTGCAACCACATTGAAGCAGTACATTTGGAAGCAACTGCCAGAAACAGGAGCAGAGCAAAAGCTGAGCCCAACTACGGGGATGAATGGGTTGAACAAGATGAACCTGGTGTCTATATTACCCTTGTTGCCTTGCCTGGAGGTGTCAAAGATCTTAAGCGTGTCCGCTTCAGGTATGACATATTCAACTACGAGCTACAATTCATTCACTCAGATATATCTTGTGCAATTTTAACTTTTAAGATCTAATTTTAGAGTTGACACCATGCAAACATATCTGTAGCACAAGATTTTAACTCTAGCACCTTGAAGAACTGCAAGACGCTCGAGTGTTTGTTTTAAAAATTATTTACTGGGGATCTTTGATTGATTTTTCATTGTCGCAGAATTCACTTTGGCTTCCCTTAATGCCATCTTATTTAGTTTTGGAGTTACTTTTGGCAAGCTTGAACTGTTGAAGTTTCGAACCCTGTGCAGCAGTTATGTATCCCAGTTAATTCATTATCACTACCTCATAGTTAAAAGTCTTTTACTGCTCTTTTTTAACATGTTTTACCATAAAAAAACCAGTTAAATGGGATTTTCTATGCATTGGTCTGCTTCCTACTTTTGGGAAATATTGTTGTTTATGGGAGAGTCAGGAATGGATGACAAAATACCTTCGGGGAGTATTTGTTTAACCAAAACATGAATTTGATCATGCATACTATGCCATTTATATGTAATATTTAATAGATTTGTGATACAAAATCTATTTAAATCATGAAGTTGCATCTGGATTTTTTTATTTTATTTTAGAAAAGGTTTTTTATCCACCCGTTCCAATCTTTAATAAGATAATTTCAAAAGAAATGCTCTATTTGTTTTCCCAATTCCATTGTAAGCTCTTCAACCTTCTATCTTCTCAAACGTGTGAACTTGGATTGAAATTTACAGGCTTCTGATTTCCTTAATCCTTTGCTGTCTAAATCCTCGTAGCCTCATTCTTCAATTTCTCAATTTTGTTATAACATCAACAATATTGTATCGATTGTCTCTGTTAATTCTCATGTCCTTTTTCTATGTGTACTTGAGGTTGCGTATTATGATTTCAGCATATGTATGCAAATTTCAATTTGAATTTTGATGGACAAATGTTGGTGAAATACATATAGTTTCCGTGCCTTGTTTACTAGTTCATTTTCCTTTCCTCTTCCCTTTGTAAATAGAATTTTGGGTGAAAGGCTTATATGCAGAGCACAAATAATGAAAATATACATATACATTTTCTTGAAGGCTAAAATCCACCTTATGGTCTTGAACATCCAAATACACCTTGAGGTTTTCAGTTTTACTTAAATGCGACCTTCCTTTAACAGACACTCAAAGCAGCAATAGTCTATGTGTCACATCGCATGTGAGATGGGCACATCATCAATGTCAAATTAAGTCGTCATCAGTATGGCATCCTCATGGATGCATGCTAGGAACATATAACACGCAAACATATCTGCCCTTCTCGCCCATCTCCTCTTGCCCCAAAATCTAGGGCATAA